ATTGATGAACAACGAAAGGACAGTGGACAGTACTACAGTGGATTGTTAGGGAATTTAGCAGTAAGATGGCATCAAAGGTTGGAAAAGAATTTTAGTTAGGAAAGAAAGGGGAAGGACCACATACACACCAGAAAGCATATATTGCACCAACACCATTTTTTTAGTACAGACTTTTCTTTTATGTTAAATAATAACAGTTGATAATGACTTGTATCCCAAGATATAATGATTTTATATAAATTCTTTTCTATGTCTTGCTTTTTATAGCTATTTTCATGTTATGTTTTCTATTGTAATGTGACAAAAAGATGTAGGAGCTAGGAGAATTAAGTTATATTCTCAACAATGCCATTGAGCTCATTTAAATTATATAAACCCAATAATTTATGGCAAATTTAAACTACTTGAACTCACTGGAGCTCAAGTTTTTTATCTTTGAAATTTTGGTTTAGAACAAATTAAATTATGCATCTTCTAGCTCTAATATTCTAGAATTCTGATTTTGCTCTTTTCAGCAATGATAACTGAATATAGTAATAAAATATTACCCTCTTGATAAAATTTTGAAAGAAAAATAAGGTAGTCATTTTTTCTGTGATGGAAATTCTTAGTGTCTCTGTGTGGAATTCAAAACATAATTTTGTTTACTTTCTGACTCTTATTTATTTCTGTTTGATGAACCAACATGGTTGTTGGAAACTGAAAGCTCAGTCAACAAAAACAAATTTATTTTTTTATTATATTTTAGAATAATCATGGATGAAAACCATTCACAGTGATTCTCATTTGTGTATTTTTAAAATATGCAGATCCCCATTAGTAATGTGACTTACTTTGAGAGTGTGAGCTACTTATCAGGATATCTGGGGAAGAAAGGTTGTACTTTATATGTTTTTCAAAATAATTGATTTATTTTGATTCGTGTGTTTTTCATGTGTTGTATTACACATTACCTAGAATTCAGAAGATAATTTGAATTGAGTGCATTTCTATCATTCTGCGCATCATGAAGGGAGAATAATGGGCATATTACATTGAAGAGTTCATACAAACTATTCTAAACATAGGTCTATTTCAAGTAAGTTATTTTTTCTGAAATCTAAACTAAGTCAGAATTTAACCACTGTATATACAAGTTTTATTTTTAAAGAGTGTTTCTGAATACCTCACATTTTTTAGTTTTTATTCTAATTTGGATAAATAAGAAATGTTTAGCAAATATTTCTTAAGGGAAGATTTCGGTCTTGGAGTGACAGGGATGCAGAGGATCCAATACTTGCAAAATATTGTCTTTCAATCCCAGCACCTCATGATTCTCTGAACATTGCAGGACTCATCTTGTGAGGCCCCAGACCACCACTAGTATGGCGCTGGTAGCTCCTAAGCACTTCCAGGATGTCTCTGAATGACTCCCAACACTCACCCAGTTTGCCATAAATGACTGGTTGTGGCCCAGGACTCCCAATACCATTTGGAAGAGCCCCTACCAGTCAGCAATGCCCAGTGTGTGTTCCTGACTGTGTGCTCAGGAGCAACCCCTAGTAAGAGTCAGCCTAACTCTAATCAGGTTACTGAATCAAGAAAGCAGCATAGGAAGAATGATAATTATAATCATCAGAGGGGTCATGGAGACAACTCTAGTGGCAGTATGTGTCCCCAGCACCATACCACGAACTCCCCCTTTCAGCTAGAACTGTATTCTCTTGCACTGTTGGGCCTCCACATGCCAGGAGTGCCCTCCATTCCTTTGAGCTCTCTCCTAGTCCAATGATGATTTTTTTTTCTTTTTGGATCTGTCTTAGCAGAGAAGATAAAATTCCTATATAAAGTCATGAATAGAATAAACCACATTTTGAGAAACATTTAGAACAGAGTGACAGTCAGATGACTGTGGTTATGAATATAGCTTTGCATGTTAATGATGTAATTTCTACTTTGGGAACATGGGAATGTATATAAATATGTTGAGCTTTTTGAAAATAAAAATATAAATTAGTTTCTATATGTTTAAAGACTGTATAATAAAGAGCTATCTTTGTAAGGACGCCAAAGACTGGATTTCTAGTTCTCACTCTACTTTGAAGTCTAATGATTAGAAAAAATTAATGTCTCTGATTCTGAGTGTCTCCACCTTTAGAATAGAGTTAATGCCATACTTATCAAGTGTGTCATATACAACTAGAATGTAAGCTTCATGAACTTTTTTGCTTGCTACTGAATATTTAGCATTGAGAACAATGCCTGGTATATAGTAGAACATCAGTAATTATCAAAAGAATGAACTACATTATTTCAAATAATATAATGCCTTCTGGGAATATAAAAATAGCACAGTACCTTCCCTTCAGAAGTTCTGTCTGGGGGAGACACACATATGAATAAACACTATAAATGATTAAATGGATGAATGTATTGTGAAAATCAAGGTAATATACCATGTACCATACAAGCAACATGGTGCAGGTTGCATTTGCAAAACAAGGTATTTCATATAAATCTGTTCTTAAGGACATAATTCAGTTCCCAGCACCATATGGCCCCCAGCTACCAATATAACCTAGATGCCCACCAAGCACTAAGAACCCCTTATTGCCCCTTAACACCGCACGTGTGTCCTGTGGCCTCTGAATACAGTCTAGCTGTGTAGCCTGAGCCAGTCTGAGTTCCCAGGACCCCCAAGTATTGCTGGATGTGGTCTTTATTTAAAAATTGATAAATAAAAGTGAAGCATGTTTTTCTGAGGTTTTGTGACCAATGTAAAGGTAAGGCCAGGCTGTCCACTGTCCTCCCATTGTTCATCGATTTTCTCGAGCGGGCCCAGTAACGTCTCCATTTTGAGACTTTGTTGTTACTGTGGGCTGGAGCGACAGCACAGCGGGTAGGGCGTTTGCCTTGCACGCAGCCAACATGTCCGACCCGAGTTCGATTCCTCCGCCCCTCTCGGAGAGCCCGGCAAGCTACCGAGAGTATTCGATATGCCAGACACAGTAACAACAAAGTCTCCAATGGAGACGTTACTGGGCCCGCTCGAGCAAATCGATGAACAACGGGAGGACCGTTGTTACTGTGTTTGGCATATCAAATGTGTCACGGGGAGCTTGCCAGGCTCTGCCCTGCGGGCGAGATACTCTCGGTAGCTTGCCGGGCTCTCCGAGAGGGGCGGAGGAATCGAACTCGGGTCGGCCATGTTGACTGCGTGCAAGGCAAACGCAATACCCGCTGTGCTATCGCTCCAGCCATACCCTCCTGACCTCGCCCAATCTCGTCTGATCTCAGAAGCTAAGCAGGGTCGGGCCTGGTTAGGCCAGGCTACTCCACAGAATTGTGTTTAGTGTGAATGAAATGAGCCCTCGATATTCATAAAAGAAAAATAGGACTAGAATATAAATGCACATATAAGTCCTTCTGTTGATTGTGGATACAATGGAAGAAAGCAACAGAATTGATTGAACACAGTTGCAAAGGATAGTGGGATGGTGACAGTAATGAAAGAAAAGAGTAAGGAGGCAGAGATGCTGCAGTCACCCCTTAGTTATAAACATAGTCTTGCAATGATACTCCTAGTAAGAAAGAGTGAAAACTTGGAGTTAGATTGCAATAGAGTTAAATAAGAAGTGTGTTTAAATGAAACAAAAGAGAGACCTAAATTTCTTTCAAATACTACTTGACTTTGTTGATTGCCTAATATATAATGTCAGTTACTGGAGGTGTTTTATTTATCTTTAAGGTTGGTAAACTATTTGTGACCTCATTGTGATTTAGATTAAAAAATGCTTTTAAATTGACCTAAATAATTTATATACCATAATTTTATTCTGTCTGTCCCGTTGTTATTCTCCCGTTGTTCATCGATTCGCTCGACCGGGCCCAGTAATGTCTCCATTGTGAGACTTCTTGTTACTGTGTTTGGCATACTGAATACTCTCGCTAGCTTAAGCCAGAATTATACTTAAAACTCATGCACCAATAAATGAAAAATTGGGTTCCCGAACTGTGAAAAGCAGTGTGCAGTGTGGGTTTTTGTAATCTTTCTTGTTTTTTTTTTTTTGTTTGTTTGTTTGTTTGGTTTTGGAGGATAGGGGCAGGAATAAAAGAGGATTGGGCCATACTGGGTTGTGCTCAGGGCCCTGTGCTAGGGGGTCACTCCTAGTGGACTTAGAGGACCACATTGGGTGCCACGGATTAAACCAGGTTAGCTGTGTGCAGGGCAAGTGCCATATTCTCTCCAGTCCCTTTTATAATCATTTTTAGATTTTCTTTTTAATCTTCTCTTCCGAATGAGTATACTGATTTCTTTCTAATGATACTTTTGCTGTTTAATAAATTTAAGCTTGTGTGACTGCAAGCAGGGGTTTGTGAGATACAAGGATCTCTCCAGAATATTGAGCCATCTGACTTTGCTCCTCATGTATTTCTAGAAAAGGGTCCAAATATGATGTATTTTGCCTGTTTACTAGGGTGGAGATAGGGGTGTCTCAGGGGGTGCTTAGGGAACTGTGCAGTACCAGGAGCTGAACCAGGCAATCCCTTTTGCAGAGAGTGCTCCAGCATCATGAGCCTTATCCCTGGTCCTGAGGAAGGATCCAAATTTTAAAAGAGGGTTCATGACCCAAACGTGTCCATTAGAGAACAGTTCTAATTTATTCATCCAAATTTTATTTGTAACTGTTAATGAGGACTAAAGTTAAAAGTATTTGGAAACAGTTACTTCATTTCCTTTTTTACATTATGACCTTAAAATATCTGGAAATATAAACAAAACTACCTTGAGTTTGGAGGCTGGGACAGTAATACAGTGGGTAAGGCACTTGGCTTACACGCAATCAATCTGGCTTTGATCCCCAGCACCACATATGGTTCCCTGAGCCTACCAGGAGTGATTCCTGAGTACAGGGCCAGGAGTAAACCCTGTGCAGTGCCAGGTATGACCCTAAAACCAAGAAAAAAAATACCTTGAGTCTTGCTGACAATGTGTTTCATCACATGGCATGTTTGTGCAGGTCAGATTCCCATCACACTTCAGCTCAGATCTCAAAGACCTTCTACGGAATCTGCTGCAAGTGGATTTAACAAAGCGCTTTGGAAACCTAAAGAATGGTGTGAGTGATATAAAGACTCACAAGTGGTTTGCCACCACAGATTGGATTGCTATTTACCAGAGAAAGGTAAGCCTCCTCTTTCTTTTTTTTTTAATGATAATTATCTTTTCTCCTTGATAAAAGAGAAAGCTTCTGTTCCATTTTGACCATCAATCTGATATTTCCTTAAGTTTTTTTCTGATCAAATTCCTTACTCTATGCAATAATATCATGGTAATTATATATTACACAATGTTCTGAACAAGCCCAAATTTTAAAAGTGATGTGAAATCACATTAGAAAGACAAAATGGTTAACAGAGAAATTGCCTGACCCTGAGTTGGCACACAGCCATTTTTCATATGTAGTTGCTAGATCATCAGATTTTTTTTTATCTTAAGCTTTCTGTGGAATTTGCAACTAATTTTTAATTTAGTATTGCATGAACCACACTTTTTTCACACTCCTAAACTTTCGCGAGTTCTCCCCTTGTGTCTGACTTTCTTCATTTGCATACCAGCCATATTTCCATCAATAGAATATTCGACTTAATTTTGTATTTTCTCTGATAGGTTTTCTTCCTTATGCACTCATTGAGTGGTTTTAAAATACTTCACTGAGAACAGGGAGACTTACCTTACTCATTTTTATGTTCTATCATTTGAAAAGAGCCTGTGTATGTTAGTGTTTGCTGAATTGCTTACTTAGAATTGATCTTTCTTCAGTTATGACTTCTATTATTCATTTGAAAATTAATTTGACATTAGTAATAGAAATAGGGCATTTCAATGACTGCCTTCTGAAAAGTCAAATAAAATGATCTGAAATTATTACTGTTTTCTTTTTAACACTTACTCATGTAGTCATTCTTCAAATAATTATCTGATGCCTTCTCATATGTTTATTATTCTGCAAGGTGCTGAGGATACAAAAATAGATAAAATCAATCTTCTTTCTCTTCAGATGAAACTTATAATTTAGGGGATAGAGAAGCAAGCATTAATCATGAACATAAATGTGAAGGTAGTAATGAGGAAAATGTGGGAATCAGAAAGAATAAATTGAGTTTTGGAGGCTTTTTGTTAATTTTTTGCTGTTGTTTCACATTATCTACTAAAGAAATTTTTAGTGTTAGAAATTCAGACAACATGAACAAACTTAATCTCTAGTCTTAGTTTACACCATAATAAAATGGATAACAAACCTCAGCTGAAAAGTAGCTTACTTAAAATAAATCGCATTTGGGGGCTGGAGTGATAGCACAGCGGGTAGGGCGTTTGCCTTGCATGCAGTTGACCCAGGTTCGATTCCCAGTATCCCATATGGTCCTCCAAGCACGCCAGGAGTAATTCCTGAGTGCAGAGCCTGTACATCGCTGGGTGTGACCCAAATAAAAAAAAAAGAACAAAGAAAAAATAAATAATTAATAAATAAATAAATCTCCAAGTTATGATAATAGTTTTATATTTTAATAGTAGACATCACTTCCACTTGGTAATAAAGTGTAATAGTAAGTGATTTGCTAAGCCAGAGCTCCTTTTTCTTTTATTTGGTTCTTAAATTCCCAGTTAAAGCTAATTTGTGTAAAGTATTTCTACCCTGTATATAGTTACTATTTTCTTCTTCTTTTTTTCCATAAAACCCAAATTTCTAGTGTTTGAAGACTTACTGTTCTTTTTTTTTAATTATTATTATTAATGAAACACCATGAGGTACAGCTGTAGATTGACAATTTTTTGTGCTTGGGTTTCGATTATACAATGATCAAATACCCATCCCTCCACCAGTGCCCATTTTCCACCACCATGGATAATATTCCCCCCATCCCCACCCCCCATCCCACCCTGCCTCTGTGGCAGGGCAATCCCTTGTGTTCTCTTTCTCCTTTTGGGTATTGTGGTCTGCAAAAGAGGCATTAAGTGGCAAACATGTTCAGTCCATGAAGACTTACTGTTCTTAATGCATTGCAATCACGTAAGAATTTCCATTGACCGAATAGGGAAATGTAAATGTTCTAATTATTATCTATAGTTTTCTAATTTTTATTTTTTATTTAAAATATCAAATAAAGTATTAAATATTTTTAAATACATAAAATAGAAAATATACCAGACTAAAACAGTGTAACTGCAGTTCATCTTCCCCACTTCACAACAGTGATTCAAGAATTCAGTAAAATTTATAAAACATAACTATTATTATGTGTCATATAGTTAGAAACAAGGTACACAACAATTTAAAATAAATATTTTATATTTTCCTGTTTTGATTTTAATTTGCTTGCACAACTGGAGTAATTTATTTTTAGCAAAGAAAGACAGTTCTGTAATCTTTTAAATAATCCCATGGGGACAGGTTGTACAATGTTACCATTATGCCAAAAAGAAAATCAGCACAGAAAATTTAATCACTTTAAGCATATTCAAGCAGGTGTCATTCAGAAAAAGTATTTGATCCTCCATTCGAGATTCTCTTTCAAGATGTCTGACATGGTTATTCCAGTGAGCCTCCAAGTAGTTAACATACATCGATTCATAGGCTTTTCATACCATCTGCTTAACAATTAGTCAATTGTCCTCTAGCATTTGTTGAATATTTCTTACTTGGTTCTTACTTGAAATCCCACTTTTACTAATATTAAGTTATTGATAACTTTAATCTCTCTCTGAACTTTATCTTATATGACTTATTGTCTGTTTTCTGTTGCTTATGCATATGTGGCAGCAGATATCAAACCCAGAAAGTTATGCAGATTTTTTATTAATGCAAAATACACATGAAATAAAATTTGACTATTTTAGCCATTTTTAGGTATATTTTACCTGCAAGTGGTATGAAGTCTCTTCATGTTGTACAATGAGTACCACCTTGTATTTCCAGAGCACTTTTCATAATGCAAAACTAAAACTCTGCCATTAAACAACAGATCCCCATGACCTCCTTCCTCATCCCCTGGCCAGCACCTTCATACTGTGCTCCCTTTTTTTCCTAAACTCCCTTTTCCTCCCACCTACAGTCTATGGCATGTGTTAATATATGTTCATTTTTAACATAGTCAAATTGGATCATTTAAATTTCTTAGAAAGTCATCCTATCTCCTATGATGCTTCCTTTTTTTGTGAAATTATATTTGCAGTATTTAACTCTTGTATTGGTCTTTCCAAACACATGTATTTGATTCTTTTATATTAATTATGAGAGAAACAAAATCCTGAGAGTTCTTTATAATAAAAGCATTAGGCTTCTGAATTTATTCACTTATTTTCTGTCATTCTGCAAAGTTTTAGAGACTTACTTAATTTCTTTCTTGGAGTTGTTACTTAAACTTATGTTGTGGCTATTTTTATGGATGTGTTTGCCTTCCTCTCACCAATTTTTCATTGATTCTTTTATGTCTTACAACAGTGATTTTAGAGGGCAAGGATATCTCTTGCCATTTAAGTATTTACAATTTGATTTTATAATAGGTAAGACAATGATGAAAATAATATTTAATGTAATAAGATTATTGGGAATTCTTGTCTTATTCCCTTTATTAGTATTTATTTATTTTAATGGAATTTATCTCCCTTTTCTTCTCTTTTTGTACTTCTGTTGCAGGGATGAGGGATCACACAGTTGGTTGTGATGTTTGCACTTGTGCTTCCCAGGGTTGTACCCTTTCAATATGCTTACACACTTTTAGTCCTGACACTTATTGGGCATCACTACTTGAGTTGCAGTGCTCACATATACTTGTCTATGCTGAACAGGAGCTAATGAAATCGCATACTTCAAAAATCATGTTTGCCAGGGATCAGACTTTGCCTCACAGTTGAAGATTGTCACTTTGCCATTAAAACATCCCTGTCCCACCCCCAGTTCCTGTTTTGAGTGGATGTGCCTTCACGTTTTATTGCCAGATAGCTGTTTGTCTTAGATATGTATTCTTGATTGGGTGAAGGAAAGATAATTTGATTCCTACTTGACTGTTTTATCTTCTTTGGCATGTTAGTATGATACAGTGTGTCAGTTAGAGATCCTCACATCTGTAGAGTGAACACCATTATTTAATCATGAGGCATCATCATCTTAATATCTACATGCAGTCAGTTGCTAAAATTTTATTTAGGATTTTCCCTTCATAATCTAGGAGTGATAGCACAGTGGTAGGGCATTCGCCTTACAAGCGGCCAACATGGCCGACCCGAGTTCGATTCCTCCGCCCCTCTCAGAGAGCCCGGCAAGCTCCCGAGAGTATTCGATATGCCAAACACAGTAACAACAAAGTCTCCAATGGAGACGTTACTGGGCCTGCTCGAGCAAATCGACGATCAACAGGAGGGCCTTTACCTTTACCTTTACCTAATCTAGGGTTTTAAAATTTTTTATGAGAACAATCACAAATCACAAATCATCCTGTTAATCGTCGATTGCCTCGAGCAGGCCCCAGTAACATCTCCTTCATCCTAGCCCTGAGATTATATTCAAGGCTCTTTAGGAGAATGAGACCCATCATTGTTACTGGTATTTGGCATATTGGGTACGCCACGGGGAGTTTGCCAGACTCTGCCGTGTGGGCAGGCTACATTCGGTAGCCTGCCAGTTTGTCAAAGTAGGAATGAGATGTCATAATAAGATGTCCGGGTTCCGGGAGCTGGTTTTTATAGTCTCTGAGTCTTGGCCGTTGATGGGATTACACGGCTCCAGGGGGCCAGTTGGTGGGTGTGACCCCCGCCTACTGGAATTTGGAGGATCTGGGTGGAGGATGCTCGGCCCAAATCCAAGTAGGCTTGGAGATCTCGGCCCCGGAACCCGCGTGACTTTGTCCCTCTACCAGTACCTTCATGTGTGCGGAGAGTGGTCTCAGCATGGTGGTGGCTGGTCCTGGAGGTCTTTGGCTGCCAGAGGAGCCCTGGTCGGGGTGGAGAGGAAAGCTCGACCCGCTCCCCTCCAAGGGGTCCCGGCGAGCGAGGACAGTCAGGCGCAGGGGCAGGAGACTGCACTGTTCTCTTCCGGGAGCTGGTTTTTATAGTCTCTGAGTCTTGGCCGTTGATGGGATTGCATGGCTCCAGGGGGAAAACAATAATATTAATAAAAATTTTACT